GAGGAGGAGGAGGAGAGCTGCGCGTCGCGGTCGGGTTGCACCTCGCCATCGCTCGGGCGTCCAGGCCGCGTGCACCAGGTCGGGCCGCAGCCGAGCGTCGGGACAGCGGGGCCGAGCGGGATCGAGGTGGAAAACGTTGATATCGAGTCGGATCTCTCGGATCGAAGTGGACCCCGGCGGGTATGCGGGCGCTCGCTACCCAGTTCTCCCCTCAGGGGGCCGAGGTCCCGGCTGTCTCCAGCAATTCCTCGGGTGACAAGGCGACCGGGGGAGAGCACAGCCTGACGAAAACAATAGTAGGTGCGCTCTACTATCTACTCTCTGCTGCCATTTCTCTACTCGCTACTCTCTGCTCTGCTTCCTCCCCCTCTACAACCTGTGAGCTCGACCCCTACGTACACCCTCTGCGCTCTACCCTGTGCTGCAGACACGGTAATCGCCCCTCAACTGTGTTGCCTTTCTGCTTCCCTGTCACCTGTCTTCCTCCCCCCCCGACCTCCTACGCCCCCCAACTCTCCCACCCTCTTCCAGCTCTCCCGCTTTAACTATCCCCTCCCGCATCCCGCTCTGTCCCCCCTCCCCCCCTTTCCTCCGCTGCCCTCCTCCTTCCCCCTTCCGCTCCCGTCCCCGCGTCTTCCCCCTCCACCTCCCTTCCTCGTCGTGGGACCCCTCCCCTCCTCCCCCCCTGTCCCACCTCCTCCTTCATCCTCCTCCTCCTCCCTCCTCTCTCCTCCTCCTCCTCCTCCTCAGCCTCTCCTCCTCCTTCCTCCTCCTCCTCCTGCTCCTCCTCCTCCTCCTCCTCCTCCTCCTCCTCCTCCTCCTCCTCGCCCTCCTCCTCCTCCTCGCCCAGGAGGCGTCGGGGAAGCTGCGCTCCGCCCCCCCGCCCCCCGCCCCCCCCGAGGGCGCGGCGCCCGACGCGAGGAGGGCTCCTGGGCGTCGACGACGTCCTTCTCGGCCTGGCGGGGTCCGAGGTGCCAGGAGCAGGGACGGGGGGAGCGGGAAGCTCGAGGCCGACGGGGAGGAGGAGCAGATCCAGGACGATGGGAGCGGACGAGGGGCAAGGAGGGATGATCGAGGACGAGGGGACGGGGGGAGCAGGATCGAGGACGAGGATCGAGGGGCGAGGGGGGAGAGGATCGAGGAGGGGGAAGGAGGTTCGAGGAGCGTGGAGGGCGAGCAGGGGGATGGCGGAGGAGAGGGGGGGGGGGGGGGAAACGGCAGTCTCGATGTCTCCATGGACGACGCGCGAGAGGAAGCATCAAGCCGACGAGAGGCGTGGCTGGGGGCCGCGCCCCGGGGAACGGAGAGTCCTCCCGCCCATCCCCCCATGCTGCTGCGGAACCTCGTGCTCCGCGCTCCCTGCCGCTCCTCGCTTCCCGCCCCCTTCCTCGTCGCTCCTCGCTCCTCGGCCTCCCCCGCCTCCTCGCTCCCCCCCTATCATCCTCGCTACCCCCCACCACCACTCGTGCTCCTACTCCCTCCTCCTCCTCTTCCTCCTCCTCCTCCGCCTCCGCCTCCGCCTCCTCCTCCTCCTCCTCCTCATCCTCCTCCGCCTCCTCCTCCGCCTCCTCCTCCTCCTCCTCCTCCTCGCTCCGTTGGCGTGTACTGCTCCGCCTCCCTCGGCCACGTCTTCGGCCCTCAGGCCAAACGTGGCGCCAGCGGGATCTTGTGCGGTCCCGCGGATCTCTGTCGCTGGGCTCTGGCCGAGCATGGCGCCAGTGGGATCTTCTGCGGCCCCACCGATGTCAGGCTAGTCCATCTATGCGCAGAGGGCAAGAATACTATGTCGTAAGTCCATGCACGTCTTCGTCACGTTGCTGTCTTCGAGCTCATCACTATCGTTCTCCCTCCTCGTGGTCGGTGTCGGCCCCCGCCGCCCACATTCTGCCTCTCGACCACATCCCCACCACAGTAATCAGCACGCTCATCGCTGTTGTTGGTCACCATACCCAGCAGCAACGCCATCATCATCTTCACCATTACCAACAATGTCACCGTCGTTATCGTCGAACATCACTGTCGTAATCATCATCACTATCCGATACTGTCACACCCCCTCCACGTCCTCCCTCCACATCCTCCCCTTTCTCATCCTCCCGAATCCATATCGCCGCCATTCCCCTCCGACCCCCCTCCTGACGAGGTCATCCGGTTGATCCCCAATAGGTATAGGAGAGTAGTTCGGGATCAGAGGACACAAGGAAGCGGGATGATCGAGCTGGTTTGTCCTATTTCTCATTCTTGTCGTCAAGCGTCAAGCCTTTAACATGTGGGCGGTACTGTACCCAGGTACTGGTACTGTGCCCAGGTTCTGGTATCCCTGCGAATAACCAGAGAAGAAAGAACAACCGAACGACAAGAGGTCTGCTCCTCCCAGTCGAATCCTCTCTCGCTTTACTGAAGAAGAGGGGCGGAGACAGGCCTCGGAAAAAAAAACAACAAAAACGAAGATGTCCCAAACCGGATTCCTACATCAGAGAACCAAAAGGGGCCTCACCAGCCTGGAACGTATCCCTATCCCTATTCTGGGCATCGCCTCACCACGATGCCGATCGTGGGGATTGACTTAGCTTCTGAGGGCGCATCCCTAAGATTGGCATCGCCTTGTGGCATGTCAATATTAAGGATAAGGGGTAAGTTCGAGGCTGATGAGGACCCATCCAAACGACTTCGCAAGTTTGTCACAGGACCTGTGCTGCATCCCGAGCCGTTCCGTCGAGGGTCCTGGTGGCCCTCAAACCGAAAGCTCGCCGAACAGATTTGTCGTCGCGATCTGCGCACGACGCCCGGGGGTCCGCAGGGACAGCGTCGGGCCCCCCCAGGAGCACGGAGAGATGGCGAACAGAAACACGGGACCTGCTTCGCTCAGTGCGCCCGATTGATGGCGACGATTTGTAACTCCGAGCCACATCTCTTGTTGTGCTCACGTTCCACCACCACTACCATAGGTAGGAGAGGAAGGAGGAGGAGCAGCTTTTAGGGTGGGGGGGGGCACGCGTATTCGAGCCCCCCCCCACCAGAGGGAGGAGTAGGAGGAGGAGGAGGAGGAGGAGGAGGAGGAGGAGGGGGAGGGGAGGAGGAGGAGGAGGAGAGGAGAGGAGGAGGAGGAGGAGCGAGGGAGGAGGAGGAGGAAGGAGGAGGAGGAGGAGGAGGTGGAGGAGGAGGAGGAGGAGGAGAAGGAGGAGGAGGAGGAGGGGGAGGAGGAGGAGGAGGAGGAGGGGGAGGAGGAGGAGGAGGAGGAGGAGGAGGAGGAGGAGGAGGAGGACCTCCTCATCCTCCCTTCTGCCCCGTGCTACATATGGTAGGGGTGGTGGAACATTTGCCCGTCATTTTGGGGACGCCCGACTTCGGGTACGGAGAACAAAAAAAAGACGATGGCTGACAATCTAAGTGGTCCCAAACTGGCAGCAGCCGCTGGCGGGCAAGCAACCTTTCTGTCTCAGACGGGCAGCGTCCGTGGCGGCACTGACAGCCAGCCCTGTCTCCCCCCAAAAAAAGAAACAGCCGTCGGAATGTACCCCCATCTTTTCTATACCCATCTCGGTTGTTCTGAAGAAGTGGCCTGGCCTGGACTAGGACGAGAATGATGTCCTGATGCGATTGGCACAAGATGCATTGTAAGACTTCCTGAGCATCCAACGGCCTGCGTTCCTGTAGACTACAGACAGTGTGGGGACAACAAGAAATCTCGGAAACCCCCACAATCTTGGAACGTCCGGGTGAGGGGGGCCGAACGCTCAACCATTGTCGCTGGGTGCGTGGCAGAAATGGCGTCCAGTCTGGCGCAATATGCCGGTTGTGTTTTATGTTGCTCCCATCGTACTTAAGGGCCACATCCCAGAAATATTTTCGAGCACCCGGAGAAGTGTCGAAAGAGTGTCGGGACAGTGTCGAAACAATGTCGGACGCGTGTCTCCCAGGACCCGACACGTGAAAATCTGCGACTTTCGATACTTTGTGCTCGGAATACTTTCTGGTGGTCGAGGCTAAGATACGTTGGAACATCATAAACTGTGTTGTTGTTGTTGCTGCCTTGTCGTCGTCCTCGCCCGAGACCCGCTCGGGACCCACCACGCGACCCACCACGCGACCCACCCGCGACCCACTCGCGAACCACCCCGCGCCCGCCCCCTCACCCTCGGGGGCGCGCAAACATGGATTACCAATCCATGGATTTGGCGTGCGATCGCCAAATCCAAGGATCGGGGGAAGTGCCCTCCCCAAAATGCGGCCAATGCCGCCTCGCTCGGCGGGGGCAATCCGCGGTTTTCCATGGAAACGGGACCCGTCGCTAATCCACGCCCCCCTGATCCATGTCTGCGATCGCCTGACACTCTTATCCGCCACTGCGGGGCGCTGCGCCATCATTACCATGACCTCTTGGTCCTCTGATGGGTCTTTTCCTCTTAAACGTAACACGTGTTCCGCCTCCCCTCCAGGGGGCTTTGGGCTGAAGCGGACAGAGCGGAGCACGGAACGAGCAGGACAGCAGCCCTGCACAAACGGAACCAACACGGAGGAACCGAGCACGCTGGTTCCCGCCACTGCTCAGGTTGGTCCTCTGATGGCACGGGCGTCCGCCTGTGCAGGCGGACAGCCGGCGTCCCCTCCCCCGTGGGTCAGAGCGCGCGGCGCCTTGTCGAACGCGGCCTTGGCCGCGCCCATGGCGGCGTCCTTCTCGGCGAGCTCGGTCTGCGGAGGGCGCGGGCGGGTGGCGCCCAGGGCGTTCCAAAGCCTGCTCGATGGACTGTATACACGTGCCTCGTGCCTCTCAAGGGAGGACAAAAGCTGCATACACATGACATGTTCGGAGATCCGCGCGGATTTCTTGCGCCGGCGCTGGACCCCCTCCCCGTCGCGCGGAGCGCGCCAGGGGCGGCGCCGGAGGCGCCGCCAGGGGGGCCAAGCGCCGATCCAAGGAACCCGCGCGGAGCTCCGAGGGATTCTGCCTATGCGGTTGATTCTTCTTCGAGCCTGCGCGGACAACTACTGGACATGGCGGTTCGGTAAAATTGCAAGGATATGGTCATCATGCAGCCATCAAGAACTGAAGGGGCCCTGGGACACACAAATAAATACACACAAATCAAAATATTCCCCATATTTTCATATATTTTCTGGGTTTTTGTCTTCCCCACCACTTCCCATATTTTCGCAGATTTTCCTGGGAATCGACGATTAATTGTGTCTGTGTGTTTTTTCCTCTCCTGAAGAACGCGGAATAAATAACGGAGGGGATTCTCTGGCCAAGGCGGCCCCTGCCCGCGGACAGTATCCCCGACCTGGACCTCAGCTCGGGGACGGCCCGGAAACCAGAGCCACTCCTGAGCCCCACGTGGTCCTCAACTCGACGCCCTAACTGTAGGCTGGCAAACGGTACTTCACGTCAAAATGTGCCAGGTTACGGAAATCCTGGATCCCGAAACACTGCCATCTGTTGGGGCGCAACTTCTATTTCCTTTTTGTCACACGCTACTCCCATTCCCAAGGAAATTTCGCGAGGGCAGACACATACTACCGCGAACGTGCGCGGCGCTCCCGATCAAAGTCGGAGATGCCCTGAGACAGCGGCAAGGCTCGCGATGCGAAGGCAGCTGTGCCTCTGCCCCGCGCCCCGCGCACCTCCGCCTCTGCAGAGGTTCCGCCGCCGCCTTCCGCCGCCCCAACTTATACTTCCGCCGCCTCCCGCCGGCCTTCCGCCGCCTTCCGCTGGCGGAGCCTCCCTCGTTTTCCTGCCGCCGCCCCTCCGCCACCTCCCACCCTCCGAGGGAAGAGATAGCAACTCCTTGGACCCTCGAAGGCGAGGGAGGAGGAGGAGGGGGAGGAGGAGGAGGAGGAGGAGGAGGAGGAGGAGGAGGAGGAGGAGGAGGAGGAGGGGGAGTCCTGTGCTGGAACGCCTGGTGAGGGCGGGCGTGGGCCATCCCCGCAGTTCCCACGTGGAGCCACGCGCCCGCTGCCGTGCCCTCTGTCGCCGGTGCCGGCACCCGGGTGGTCACCTCAAGGAGCACTCGGAGCCATTGACAGCCCAGGCCCAAGAGCCCAGGGAAAGGGACTCATAATGTGAAGGGGCCCCAGGACACACGAATAAATACACACAAATATATTTCCCCATATTTTCTGGGTTTTTGTCTTCCCCCCAATCCCCATATGTTCCCGTATTTTCCTGGGAATCGACGATCAATTGTGTCTGTGTGTTTTGTCCCCTCCTGATAATGGTCGATCCATGGAAGGCGCAACTGGCGAGGCCCCACTGTAGACCGACAGGCCGATAAAGGGCGCCGCGGTGTTCCGTTGCTGTCGGCGGCCCTGGAATTCAGGAGGCGGAGGAGGAGGAGGAGGAGGAGGAGGAGGAGGACAATAACGCCAGGGGTGGTGAGGGGACACGTTGGGGGGGACTGGCTCAGGGGGGGAGCGTCGACCTGGAATCGGCGATATGTGGCCAACAGATCGGCGATGAGCCCACGATAGCGAATCCGAACGCCCTCGGCGAAACGCAGCGGCTGGAAAGCATCCTGAGGCAAGAAAACATCCATGAACCCACGAAACCTCAGAAAACATGCGAACACGCTTCGCCCCCCCAAACAAAAACACATAGAAGAACGAAGGATGACATAAACATCGAAAGATCCGCGGGGGTTTCTGGGATCCGCGCTGACCCCCCTCCCTGGAGCGCGGAGCGCGCCAGAAACGGCGCCGGAGGCGCCGCCAGGGGGCCCCAGACCCGACACGAGAAATCCGCGCAAACCTCCGAGTTCTTACGTTCATAATGTGAGTTCCCCATGTTTCTGTCATTCTTCGCTCCCCTAAATATGGGGCAAACGAACCTACCTCGCTTTTGACCACCCTCGCTTCCAAGAGATACCGAGCGATGCCAAACTGCGGCCTGTACTGGTCGGGCCGCTTGACGAGGAGGCGCGTGGTATGACTTGGTTTCGCCTGGAAGCGAAAGCGGGGTAGGCAATTCACGCTCTGACTAAAACATCTGCCCCGCCTTGCCCTCGAGTGGAGACGCGGGGGAGGCCGAGCGCCGAGGTGGACCAGCCGGAAGACAGCAGGCCAAGGCGAGGCGAGCCGAGGCCCGTCGAGGCGGGCGCCAGTCGTGCTCGCAGCGCACTCCTCTTCTTCCTCCTCCTCCTCCTCCTCCTTGTCCTCCTCCTCCTCCTCGTCCTCTTCCTCCTCCTCCTCCTCCTCCTCCTCCTCCTCCTCCTTCTCGTCCTCGTCCTCCTCGTCCTCTTCCTCCTCCTCCTCCTCGTCCTCGTCCTCCTCCTCCTCCTCCTGCTCCTCCTCTTGTTCTGGGAGTCGCTCCCATGCCTCAGCCACGTCTGCGGGACGCCAGCGGGAGGGGGGCAGAGACGGTCACATCAATGGGATGAAATCGTCTAAGTCAACAGTGACACTGTGTGTCTGGGTGGAGGCCTCTTGCGAGCCTCCTGAAATGGTTAATTCCCGAGGCGGTGGCAGGTTGGCAGGCCTTGCTGAGGCCTTTCACCTGAGCTCCACTAGAATAGAACTTACGCGTCAAACGCATCCGAGAAACGAAGCATCCGAGCACGGAAATGCCAACATGCGATGGTTCTGACGATCAAGGACACCGTGGTCGCGCTTTGATCGGCCAGGGCAGACGGAATCAGGGTGAGAGACATCCTCGCCAGCCGTCGAGCCCTTCAAACAAACTTCGCAAAGCCAGTATCCACTCATGCGCTTCCACAAGTGAGCGAAAGCCAGCGCGGGAGGAGGGGGCGGCGGAGAAACACGGGCAGAGCCTCGAAACTCAAGACGCGGCCATTCCAGCAACACCGCCGCACCCAACTTCTAAACATGGAATACGATCTTCACATCACGAACGACCTTCTGCTCAACCTCGGGATCTGCCGACGGGTGGCGGGCCAGAGCGCTCTTAGCAAGCACATCGGCGACACAGTTGCCCTGGCGCAGGTGAGCGTTCACCCTGGTGATGGATCCAAAACGTTTGCCAAAGAAATGCTGCGCCTGGAGAATGCTCCCAGTATGCTGCTTCTGGCCAACACTCACTTCAACCAGGGGCAGCGAGCCCTGATCAACAACGTTCTTACAGCCAACATACAGATCGGTCGGGCCCCCCACGAAAAAGGCACTCCAAACCAAGGCCCCGACCTCAGCCCCTTGGGCCGTCTGCGGCCAAGGAGCCCACGAAGGCCCCGACACCGCGCCCAACGGCAGACCGCAGTCCGAAACCAAGGCACGGCCCCAGGAACTCCGCGAGAGCTCTCGAACCACATGCTTATGACGCGAACCATCACAAAAAACATGGCCCCCTGCTCCTCCTGCTCCTCCTGCTCCTCCGCCTCCTCCTCCTCCTCCTCCTCCTCCTGCCCCCCTCTTTTCCTTCTCCTCCTCCTCCTCCTCCTCCTCCTCCTCCTCCTGCTCGTTCCTCCTCCTCCTCCTCCTGCCCCCGCTCATCCTGCAGCGTGTGCTCCGAACTCGAGGCGCCAGGGCCCCCAGTGCCGAGGAAACCGAGGCCGAGGGCGGAGGCCTCCCAGAGGGGCTCCCCAGCAACCGGGGCCTCGGGGCCGGGCCGCATCGCCGATGCCTCGCCGAACGTCTGCGATGCGTCGGCGATGCATCGGCGACGTCGGCGTGGAGGAAGCTGTGCCCTACATCGAGCCTCAGGGTCGGCCAGGAAGGGGGGCGTCCAAGAGGGGGGGGCGCAAGTCATGGCCGGCGGCATGTGCGCGGCCCACGTGCGGGGGGGGCCGGGGACGTCTCGAAATGAGAGTCGGCGGTGGACAAATCTCCCTTTAGTAAACCTCCACTTGAAATTGAAAACGGCCTGGGACCGAAACCGACGAACCTGGACGCGCAAGAATGACAGCCGCGACGCCCTCTCGCGAACCGAAAACGGCCAATTCCTTATTCGACGTGTCAGGGTAGGAGGTCTGTCCACCTCTGACAGAACAGGCGCCATGAGCTCTGGGGAGACATCATGGTCCCCGCCACGATATCGACCGCCCCTGGTCATCACCCCCTCTTGGCCGCCCCCGACCTACATCGAACCATTCGGCGATGCGGCCCAGTCCGCCGGCCCTTCTCTGCTTGGACCACAGCTGTGAAGGGGCCTGGGACACACAAATAAATGCACACAAGAATTGGAGTCCCCATATTTTCCTACATTTTCTGGGTTTTTGTCTCCCCCCACGTCCCATACTTTCCCATCTGTTCTGGGGGATCGACGATTAATTGGGTCTGTGTGTTTTTTGTTCCCTCCTGAAGCTGGGTCGGCATTCGCGTCGTAAGGGGCTCTGGCGGCCGATCTCGGACGCACCCTCGGACGCCTCTGGGCGAGGCGCAGCCGCTGTCAAGGGCACCCCGAGGCTGGGCAGCCGGCGACGCGCCGTGGGGTCGCCCGACAAACTCGACCCTCGAGGTGCTATAGGAAGCTCAAGAAGAGTGCACATGCTGCTTGTTCGCTGCACGAGGAAGGGACGGAAGCGAGAAGGGGATGGATTTCCGTCAAGGCCCTGTGACAGTCCAAGTCAGTCTGATGTCTGGCAGCATATCCCTCTTGGAACAGGACGCCTGCGCGCGAGACGAATCCAGCGGAACGTGCGAGGGACGACCGAAGAGACGAGCCGAGCACAGCGATCCCGCAGAAGCCCCTTTCGGGCGTTGGCAGAACTAAGTGTAGTGGAACCTGGTTTAGTGATGTGTACCGGGGGGCGCCCCCCCCACCCCGTTCCGCTAACCGGAACTGCCGTCACCCGAAAAACACCAGCTACGGCAAACCTGGTTTAGTGAATCTGGCCGATTGAGGGGCCCCAGGGCCCTACCACTAACCGGGTCCCCTTACGGGTCCTGGCCGTACCCGACCCTCTCCCGAACGCGCAGCCCCCTCGGAAAGGAAGCCCTCCGTTGGGGAGGCCAGGGCCGGGCGGAGGGCCAGTGGGGCGGCCAGCGTCCTGCGGCGGAGGCCCGAGGCGGAGGCCGATGGCCCCCGCGCCGGCGCGCGACGGCCAATGGGGCGGCCCCGACGAGGGGGAGGCCGGGCGGCCGCCTGGGCGTCGAGCAGCGCCAGGTGCGCCCGGTGCGTCTCCAGCAGCAGCGCCATGCGCCGCTCGCGGCGCGCGGCGCGGGCCTGCGCGCCGGGGCGGCGACGCCTCCGTGCCTCCCTCGCGAGCTCCGAGGACGTGGGCCGGTGGGTCCGGGCGCTGCTCCTGGAGGTCGGCCTCCGGGGGCGGCCTCGGGCCCGCGGGGAGCTCTGAAACCGGGTCCGGGGCAATGCGCTGGCCCCGCGGGGAGGGGTCGGGACCCTGTGGCTGTGCAGAGAAGAAGGATGGGAGGATTTCTGAGGCCCCTCCTCCTCTCTCCCTCCTTCCTCCCTCCTCCCTCCCTCCCTCCCTCCCCCCCTCCTTCCTTACCCTCCTTGTTTCTCCTCCTCCTCCTCCTCCTCTTCCTCCTCTTCCTCCCTTACTTACTTACATACTTGTTTACTTACTTACTTACTGATTCACTCATCTACTGACTTACTTGCTTGCTTACTTATTTACTTACTTAGTTACTTGCTTACTTACTTGCTTCTTTACGCAGCGCCATCGAACGTCATCCAGCAGCCGACGCGCGCGCGCGGGCGCCCCAGGGGCGCTGGTCTAACGCGGCCGCGGGGCGTACCCGCGCCCGAATACGACGTTCCAGAATGGGGGGCGCAGGGATTGGCGGCGCGCACAAGGGGGTGGGGGGAGGGGGGGGGCTTCTTAGAAGCAGGCTGCTTCTCAGAAGGCGCCAGCCTTACATCGATAGATAAGAGCCGCGCCTTCTGAGAAGCAGGGGTGCTTCTAAGAAGCCCTCCCCCCTCCCCCCACCCCCCTCTGCGCGTGGCTGAAGGGAGGAGACCGTGCCCCGATCGGAGACATCGGGAGGAACAAGGAACATGGAAGTGGGAGCGACATCGCCACCGTGACGGCGCACGGACGGCGGCCGCAGGCCACGAATTGGCCCTTGAGATTCTGCGCGCCGCGGGGGGTCTAGACAGAACCAAGGAAGGACAGTGGCGAAGGAACGAGGGGTACGATTGGGTCGGACATGAAACCAGCCGGTGACGCTCGGCTGCAACCTTCGCCCAAACCCCATTTCCTACATCCTCTAATTGCTAGTTCGCGCTCGCCCTGGCGCCGTGGGATGAGCAGGGGCATGGAAAAGAGCCAACAGAAGGGCACCAGCAGTAACGGGTCGCAGGGTGTGTGGTGAGAGTGGTCGTCCCTGTCTCTCTCACTGAGGCGTCTGCGGTTTCATCGTATGTCACATCGAAAAAGCGTTTGTTGTCACACAACGTCAAGAAAATCGCTACGCCCAGAAATTCTTCCGTGGCCGCCATGACGTGGAATTGCTGGAAAGAACACACCATCGTTTTGGAACAAACTGTGGTACAAGAGCTGATCATTTTCTGAGGGTGGAGGGCTTCGGGTGAAATCCACATGGATGTTCGCACCTCGAACTTCAATCCATCTCCTGGTCTGGTGGCTTTCAAGGTAAGGTTTGTGTTGTGTAGCGGCCTGTGTATGCACCACCTGGCGTCTGTTACGATGTCAAAATTGCGCCCGCACGTGTTCAGGCATCGCTGATGGCTCGCATCCGGCAATCTTTCAAACAAAGCGTTGCCGCCTCGCCGATGTCACCCGCGGGCTGTTTGTTCCTCGACAAATCCACGCTCAACGCATATGCGAATGGCAGGCGGGCTCGAACTCTTCTGACATTGTGTTACATGTTGTTCTCACTGTTTACAAGGTGGTTCGCTATTGGTTGGCTGGCTCGCTGGTTGGTTGGCTGGCGACTTGACCGTTGGGCTGAAAGGTTGAATGGATGGCTGGTTGGGTGGTTGGTTGACTCTGTAGGCCCCCGAGCATGCGACGAGCGCCAGACAGGTGAACGGGCACGCGAGTGGCGCGGGGCAGGTGGGCGAGCACGAGAGTGGCACCCGACGGGTAAACGAGCACGCGAGTAACGCCCGACAGATCAACCCAGAATGGCATTATCTTCGTCGTTCTTGAATTGGGTTGGCCGTTCTGGAACTTGCTGTGTGCGCGACAACCGATGCGACATTCTAGAACTTGGTTGCGCGTGCTAGAACTACTCCGGCTGTTCTAGAAGTTGTTCTTTCTTGAGTTGCTGCAATGCCGTTTTGCCATCCACAATTCGTCTTGCGTTTCTACAGCTGCCTCCGGCCGTGTGGCAAGAAACGCGTGGGAAAAAACGGCCGGAGTCGAGATCCGGTGGCCCGTTTCGGGGCGGCGGGAGAACCCCGACTGGAGCCCCGAGCGGGCTTCGGAAGAAAATCTGCGCACGTTTGCGAAGCCACCGTACGGCAACTTGGCGACATGGGGGACAGGGGGCCTGGATTGCGAGAGGTAAAGGGGCCCCAGGACACACACATAAATACACACACAAATAATCTGTTCCCCCATATTTACGCATAGTTCTAGGGTTCTCGCCTTCCCCCCCCACACTTCCCATATTTTCCCATATTTCTGGGGAATCGACGATTAATTGTGTCTATGTGTTTCTTTCGCTCCTGAGAGAGGGCGGTTCTAATTGCCTTGCTGGCGACGGCGCGGGCGTGGCCACGGGGCGAGTGCGCGTGGACCCCAGCAAAACTGATGCGTCGCCCCCCTCCGCTGCCATTGGCGAGTCGCGCTTGCCGGCGGCTGATGATGAGGATGAAGGATGATGATGATGAGGAGGATGAGGAGGATGAGGATGAGGATGAGGATGAGGATGAGGATGATGAAGATGATGAAGATGATGATGATGATGATGATGATGATGGTGTTGATGATGATGGTGATGATGATGATGACGATGGTGATGATGAATATGAAGATGAAGATGACTATGATGATGATGATGCTGATGATGATGATTATGATACTGATAACGATAATGATAATGTTAATGATAACGATAATGATGATGATGATGATGATGATGATGCTGATGATGATGATGATGGTGATGATGATGGGGTGGAAGGGGGGGCGGGGGGGGAGGGAGGCAGAGAAGGGGAACTATAAAAGCCTTGGAGGAAGATCAACAGGATGAGGCGGAGGCAACGGGTGGGGGTGGAGGCGGAAGCGGGGGTGCAGGAGGCGGGGAAGGGAAGGACGGGGGACAAGGGGAGGGACATTATTCACGGGCGGCGGTGTCTTGGGCGAAGCGGCGTTTCAGATCTCACTGTTTGCCCTCCGCCCAAGGTAAATCCTCGGAAGAAGGACTCGGCACCCTGTGGGTGATACCGCCAAGCTGGCGCCCCGTGGGCACATGAATTGCTTCGAAATCGCCTTACCTGGCGCTCCAGGATGTGGTGCACAACCGACAATACCCAGCGCCCGCTACCAGCACCGTGGGATCCAAGGGCGCCTTCGGGCCAATTGAAGTCTTCCCGCGCACTCCAGCCGATCAGTCTCGAAATGCGCCCTTTCGGCGGGTGCCTCTGGCGTATCCTGCTCTTGCTCTGGATTCGTCTTCTCGTACACTGGTGCTGCATGCGCATGCGGCACGTCGGTCGCCCGCTCCTGTACCCATACCTCGATATTGAGCACATGCGGGGCCATCTCCTGGACTGCGACCTGGGGCACGTGCTTGTCCGCGACCTACTCGTCCACGTGCTCGTCCACGAACTGGGGCACGCCTCGTCCACGTCGTAGGTGTTGTCGACGTTTTCGACGATGCTGGCGTAAGTGCTGTCGGAGGCGCCTCTGGCTGTGGCTCGCTGCAGTGCCTGGACGCCCTCCTTGTAATCGTGCCCTTGGTCCTTCCAAACGAATTATGTCGAGTCCAATCGTGGCGACGCTGGGGGGGCCATGGCGACGTAGCCCGTAGGACTAGGTGTGGGGGGTCGCCGCGCGGAGGGATTCCCATCTGAACGTTCTGTTTAAGGCTGATGCCCGGGTCTTCCTAGGGTTGGGGCGCTGATGGGGGTCAGGAGGGACGCAGGCTCCCCAGCGGCCAGGGGGTACTTCTCGTCGCTGAAAGTGACCACGACCTCTCGTTCGTCTCGGTACACTCTCCCATCGGCTCCGCGTAGTCGTTGCTCATATCCGCATAATCGTCGCCCACCTCCGCGCAGCCGCTGGTCACCCCCGCATAAGTCGTTGCTCCCCTCCGCGCCGCGCTGGTGGTCGGCGCAGCGCAAGGCCGCGTAGTCGTTGCTCGCCTCCGCGTCGTAGCTCGCGGCCGCGCAGTCGTTGCTGCGCTCCGCGTCGCGCTGGTAGTCGGCGCAGCGCAGGGCCGCGCAGTCGATGCTCACCTCCGCGTCGTCGATCGCGGCCACGCAGTCGTTGCTCCGCGTCGCGCTGGTCGTCGGCGTAGCTCCGGTGGTCGGTGTGCCGACGGCCGCCGCTGCCCAGGAGGTTGTAGCTCTGGATATCTGACGGAGGTGGCACCAGCCGGGGCCGGTCACGCCCTCTCTCGCCTGGGATGTAAGCGTCGCAGATGCAATCGTAGCCCCTGTTGTCGTGCTGGTCCCCGCACTGGTCGGCGTCGCCGTACTTCTCGCTGTGCTGACCACTGTGCTGGTCAACGTACTGGTCGCACTAGTAGTCGCTGTACGGGCGGCCACCCATCTCCACAACGGCGTCGTTGACCATCTCGGTGGGGTATTCGCATTCCACGATCTGGTCGTGCAGCGCCGCATGCACCAACTGAACGAGGTCCTTCAACCGGCCTGCTTGCCG